ATCATAATCCAGAACACCAAGCATAACGAAAAAAAAGCCGGTACCACTCCTCTATTGCTAATCCGATTTATACAGCTTGATCTATATACGTGACCTTAACATTGATGTCGATCCGAGCTGAACAAAAATAAGAGATAATATTAGCCTTGAGCACAATAAATGTAGCCTCCTTGAGGTTGGGTTGCCGGTAATTCAGACTTTAGGTAACACGAACCAGAACTGCAGCCAGTGAGGCCAGTAATCCATTTTCAGCTGAAGCCAGCTCTACTTTACGCTGCTCACAGCACCGGCACGCCCGTGAAACAATTGTCTGTGACTGGCGCACGTCCTAAACGTTCCGTGCCTCTCAAAACACTTCCACCGTGCTCTCCGGTGGTGTGCGAGGCTCAGCCGAGACGTGTCCCACCGTCACCCGAGGCGTGCTCGAACGTCGCCCGAGACGTGCTCGAACGTCGCCTGAGACGTGCTCGAACGTCGCCCGAGGCGTGGCCGAGACGTGCTCCGTTCGAAACTTGTGGCGTGCGCCCGCCGCCGTGTCGATTGGGGCGCAGCGCGGTGCACTAGGCCGAGAGAGGTGAGCGGCTAAGGTCCGGCTGGAGCGGTGTACTATAGGGCTGCTAAAATCCCGTAGGTGTGGAAGAGTGAGCAAACAGATGGAAGGGAACCTGCTCCAGCTGGAGGTCCAGAAGGTAGACTAGATTCTGTCCAGACTGGATGACTAATCAGGTCTCAGGCTGCTTAGATTGAAAGGCCAGTCAGATCTGTCTGTTCGGACTGGACACTTGGACAGCTATTCAGACCTCCGTCTGCTTCGATTGGAAGGCTATCCAGACCTCAGGCTATGAGGGGCTATATGCATAGGGGAAATCAGATGCCAGGGTAGATTTGACGCCTCGATCAGGATCAATCTGACGGATTTAACAAAGTCCATGAATACGCGAACGTGTCTTTCATACTGGAATGTGTTCCATCGTCTCTTTCGGTAGGCTGGTACGCTCAGATCATCATCCAGAGAGTTATATTTATTTCATTGAACCTAGCCAGAATGGAACCCAGTTGTTGAAAAACAAATTTAACCAATATAAGAAAAACAGGACACTGCACTCAAAATACATGCAAGCAATTGAGCCGTCTGCGGAAAGTTTGAAGCCCATTTCAAAGAAGTTTCCCTGGAAAATCCGTAAACAATTCACAGCCAATAGCAAACAGGGGGAGCGAATGCAAACCATCTATTGCGGCTAGAGCCGCCGTTCACCAGAAGACCCTGAGACGATCCTCGTAAAGGCTCCGCCTGATCCCGCGATCTTGGCGGAAATTTGTCCTGCTGGCCAGCCGAGCGAATGAGATCTGTCCCCAAAAATACCAGCTCAAACAAATGGCCGCGGCAAAAGCTGCAACCATTCAAGATTAGACAGCACGGAGGCGCTGGGATCAGAATTTACAGTCGGCGTCGCCACTGGGGCCGGCCGGATCGTCGCGAGGCAATACAGTTGGGCCGTCGTCGCTTTCGACGAGCTGAGCGGGCCACCGGTCCCGCGGCTTACGGTCGAACGATGATGGCCACTGGCCGGCCCTGGTGCGGTCAGCCCGCGGCCAGGGCGCGGGAGGTAATCGCCAACGGAAAGCCAAAGGATGGGCCAGAAAGGAAAGCTCATTTTAATAGCGTCTGAAATTGTTTGTGATTTAGAAGCTAATGCTATAGGGGACAGTCGACAGATCATTACCTACAGTTTTGCTTCGGTACAGAATTGGTCAAAATGTTAGCATTTTTCCAAAAGCATGCATGCTTGGCGAATCAAGCAAGCATCAGTTGAATAAGAAAGAGCTGACAGGATTTCTTCATCACAAGATATATAACTTGACCAATGGTAAGATAATGTCATGATACATTCTGTGTTACAAAGCAGTTGACACTAGTGCTTCTGAGAAAAGACAAAAGAAGGGAGGATATCACGTCTGCAAAATGAATGAATTGCCAAACATTTCTTGTTGCTTTCTCTTCTCGTCTTGACGCCCCGGCCAACTGGCCGGGGCGGCGCGACGCCCCGGCGCCGGGCGCGGGGCGTTTCGTTATCGAGTTAGCTCGTTCTTGCCCGTCCGTCTGTCGGAGCTGGGAGGCGGGCCGGACAGCTCTCCATTTGAGGGACGGCCGAGCGGCGCCGAGGAAAACAACACTGGCCGCTGATCACTCGGCGGGCCGGCCCGGCAGCGACGCACTCGAGCCAGAGGGCCGACCGTGCTGCAGTGCTGCAGACGGTGGGGAAGCTGCTGCCATTATTTCATTGTCAGCTGGTAATACAAGATGGCAATGCACAGTGCTTCTAGCACAAATAATAACATTGTAGTTCCTGAAGCTATGCGTCTTTGGGCAAGCTTTTAATCACTTTTAAGCGTTATTGAATTAAATGTCATCATCCAGCTCGTATCACAACCAGTGTTGCTATTGAGACTGACACATTGACCCAGCAATCGCTATTTTTTTGCGTAATTTAGCAAACCATACAGCTATATGTAAAAGGTGCCTGTGTATGAACTATGAGACACAAGTTACATACTCTCCCTGACCCCTGTGATATAAAAAAACGCCATCTGCTCAGTATGGCCTGTTCATCAGTTCCACTGTTGTCTGTTTGACTTCAGCATCATCCCGCAATACCGAGAAAATCTCCTTAACGTTGCCCCACCTGTCGTAATAACATCGACCGCCGAGCCTGCTGTCTCGACAGCACCCGCGGCTCATTCCGGTCTGGAACTGAGCTCGTTCCCGCCGCTTTTTCCCGACCTACCCTAGATCATTAGAGAGCTACTAATTGCCAACGATCGGTGTCAAAAGCGTCTCCAGCCAGGCCACACGCCTTGAGGAGCGAAAAACGTGACCAAGGCTCCGGCACCCGCACGCTGCAATGACGTGACACGCCGAATAGGCGAGGTTTTCCATCCATGTCGACGTTTGGAAAGATGTGCACGCGTTCGCAGTTGCATATATTTGGGAGCATTATTTATCATTCATGTTAATTGAGATTCTACGTTCATTTATATATAATAAGAAGCATTGTTACGTAACAAGAACTAAGATGACAATTTATATCTGCCTGAGTTTTGATGCTCAAATTTAATGTTATTAGTGATGTTTGGAAGATGACAATTTTTCAACCGTGTGCGCTGCCGTCTTAAAAACTGACTTTTAACCCTCGCCCGCACATGGGGGGGGGGTTGCCACCCCCCCCAGGTAGTCTTTCTGCTCTGTACTCAACATTTTTAGAGCTAGAAGGCTGATTTTTCGTATAGCTGCTCCTCTATCCTTTTTTGATGTCCACTGAAAATTTCAAGTTTCTGTGGTTTTTGGTTTCGGAGATATGACCTTGTTTTTCAGGTCATGTCATGACTCAAATGGCCAATCCTCAACATCTTGCGTTGGCTATGGGCCTTGTGAGCTTTTGACACCTTGATTTCGGCCTTTTTTGCCAGTCTTACCTCCCACCTATCATAAAACATGCTGTTCGACGATGTACAGATGTCAAGGTCAAGGTCAAGGTCAACCTAGGTCATCTAAGATAATTGCGTTTTAGGCACGCGGAATTTACTTTTTGTGAAGTTTTTTGACTGCATTTTTAGCAAAAGCTTCTCAGATCATGATTTCATGTAATATGGACACATAAACAATCGGTGCACACATCAGTATACACACAGACACACACAGACATACAAACACATATAATTGACCTTGACCTAACTTGACCTAAAATGACCTCAGCAGCAAAAACCTGGTCGGGTAGTGTGACAAAGAGGTTCTAGCTGGCTTGGCACCAGAAAACGGCATCGTCATCGGTATATGATAAGCAGCGCACTTGATATCCAACGGTGACCCAAAACAGCAACATTTTTAAGTTTGACCTGACCTGGAAGGTCAATGACTGACCTGAGAAGGTAAAACTGGATATCATTGGATTCGTCTCTTCCCAAAGAATCTTTTTGGTCTTTACCGCTAAGCTCTATCTCCAACAAGAACGAAATGGCGCGGGGGATGGCAACCCCCCCCCCATGTGCGTTCTAGGATGGGAAATGGCATGTGCGGGCGAGGGTTGAGGTTTTTAGGGGAACACCAGCTTGTACTGTATTATGGCAATAGAAACGTTGCCATCACACAAAATTGACCATTTGATCATCCATAGGCAAGAGCGGCCGAATCACCACAGCCGCTGCTCGAGTTTAATCAGCAATGCGGAGCCACAAAGGTTAAACGATGCAGCGACAAATATTTGCTCTAAAGCAGCGGTGGCAGCTGCACTCCCGGCGGCATGGCCACTGGATCGGGAACACCTGCACCTCTACCACCTCTGCGGGACGCAAATCAAACGTGCCGCTCACCCAAACGCCAGTCATTCGTGCACAGTTCCCAAAAGTGGAGGCGTTTGACCACTGGCAAGGTCCCCAGACCATGACCATCTGCACTCGGCAGTTCAGCCCGGTTGTTTGGAAGTGAGAGAGGATGCCCTTAGGCGACTCTCAGTGAGGTTAGTTCCGGATTGTAAGTTCAGCCGGATCTGAGGCACTTTGTGACGAGTTTTGAGCTTACACTGGTTCCGACAGGCTGATGCAAGTGCTTTTGTGCCGATGCGATTTACGATTACAACGACGGGGTAAAACATGGACAGACATTGCGCAGTACCGGCCAACCCATCAGGGCGGAGCAGACGTGCGGTAGGCCATATATTTTGTTCGAGCATTGATCCCATGGTAATACACCAAATGCATGCGAGCCTCCGGTGTCTGGCGAACGTTTTATCTTTATTGCGGATCGGAATCGAACAAGGTACTGGATTTCATATTTCACGACACACCCACACTTGAAAGAAACAGACTGGGATAAATCTATAAGAACATTTTTTGGTTTTGTATCTCACTCGCAAATTATAGAACTAGACATAAATAAACTCACATGTTTTAAATCCCAGTTGCGCATAAACAACAAAACAATACGCAAGCACACCACGACTTACCTGCGACCAGGGCCCCTGGTACCATTTGGGACAGGCGACGAAGTTGCACGGTTCCTGGCTGGTGGGACGATTGCCACTGCAGCGTGCCTCAGAGACCTGTTGAACGTTCACATCTAGGTCAGAAAAAGCGAGTGAGCGATGGGGCAAGATAGATAGAGGTGAAATAGGAGAGATGGAGGGGGGGAGAGAGAGAGAGAGAGAGAGAGAGAGAGAGAGAGAGAGAGAGAGAGAGAGAGAAAGAGAGAGAGAGAGAGACGGAGGGAGAAAAAGAGAGAAGAGAAAGAGAGGAGAGAAAGTGAGGGAAAAAGGGGAAGAGAGGGAGAAAGAGAGGGAGAGTGAGGTATTTAAAATATTTCAGTTTTTATGAAAGATCCATAAGATTGCTTGTTTTGCAAGGATTGATCTGAGTCTCCTTGTCCTAAGCTTATGAATTGTTAACAAGGGAAGGCGGCATTTGGTCGCAGTGCTTCATTGAAATTGTTCGAATTTTGGAATCTTTAAGAGCAAAGCTTTATAGTTTATCATGTAAGTAACATCCATTATAGTCATATTTGATAAAAATAACAAAGAGATGTGGACTGATCAATGAGCATCGGTGGCGAGTGCCATTTTAATTTATGATGTCTTCTGTAACATTGGTCATAACAATGTCAATTGAGGTTTTCCTTTACAGCTCATATCACTCTCCATTGCTTTGCGATTACAAATGACACCACTACTGCTATGAATAGCCTGCATTTTTATAACTGTGAAAGCTAAAAAATGTCCCAGAGTTCCATTTCAGCATCTCGCGAGGAATTGAAACGTGACCAAGCTGCAGCGGCTTTGAAATTGGCTTGGCCGTCTCGACCGATTCTCATGCAAATGTGGTCTGGGAGGTGCATTTTTCAGAGCCGGAACACTGGCGCGGCGCGGTATGATTCAGCAGCAGTTCCTGCTCTCTTGTAATGAGAACTGGCCAGATGGATGGCTGTGGCAAGTTAACTCGTTGAAAGCTACAGATCTTTGTCAATTCGAAGTTTCTCTGATGGATGCTGGAGCTCGTCGAATTGTTTCATCAGAGGGCGTTCTCAGGCTCCGTTGCTATATTGACGAATTAGGCAGGTTCGACGCTATAGACTTGTCTATATGGTAAAATGGTCACCTATATAGCCGCGCGTTAGCATACACATGATAAATGTGTTATCGACAATATATTATCGATCGCTTTTTGGTCTTATGCCAGTATATTCATGAAAACGAGTTGCGGCCAACAGCTATGCCAGAGCTGTTGCCTCATTTTGTTTTTTATTTCACAAACTCAGCACTAAATAACGAAAAAAGTTGAAATATTACATTACATAATATACGCTTCTTCATTTCAATAGCTCATCATATTTTAGCATACGGACGAGCATGCCCAAATGCACTTTCAGCGATGTGCCCCATGTGGCCTTTACAAAAAAAGAATTGCAAAAAAGTTTGGCTGTAGTATCAGTACTCGTACATGCATAAATTATAGCTATGAACTATGACTGACATGTTCAGCTTGAACACGTTTCACTAGTTCATTTTCGGCTGCAATGTTTACTCTGCAAAAACATTCATAGAGCCTATAGGTCACATTTTGTGATCCGTAATGGAGCCGGTCGCAACAGTCATTTGGCTAAAGAAGCAGAGAGCGGCTCGTTTGCGCCCCCATACAACTCAACGCTATGACGCATAAAAACCATCGGCCGATCGTATAAACGCTAAAGAGAGCTTCTTGTCTGGGCCAAAAAGCAATCAAATGGCGAAATGGCAGTTTACTATTGGACACTGGAAAACCAACTCAGCACTGAGTTTACATTTGTGTTTGTATAGAACAAAACGTTGGTCGTCGCGTCGAGGCGCTTTGAGAATGACATTTTGAATTGATTGGATCGACTTCGCAGCTGGTATGGATGAAATCAATATTCATATACCGGTTTGTACGATCTAGTGACAGACCATGCCGTAGTGTCCCTGACAGACCTGATAGACCATGTTAATCTGGCGATCATGCACAAAAAAGGCAAATGGCACAAACGTTCAACAAAAAATATCAAATTCTTCCAGCGAAGACCAATGCGAAAATGACGTCTAAAGTAAGCAATAAAGAGTACAGTGTAAAAACTTCCAGACAATGTTATTGCACATACTGTAATCTGAGATGGTCAAAGAGTGGACATAATGCATTGTGAGATTTAAGCTACCTACAGATAAGCCTCCGGGAACTTGTTTGAAACAAATGGCACATAATTAAACACAGGAGCTATTCAATTTAGCATCAATTAGTGTGGACAAGGCCGTATAAGTTAGGTAAGATCGTCCGGGCTCGCTAATGTTACAAATCTGCAACACTACGGTGACGTCACCGGAGCATACGCTCCCTGGCTCCATCCGGACCCTGATGCGGCCGCTGGAATCGCTGCTAATCGAAAAATTACTTGTGCAATAGCGCTTTTAAATGACTTTAAAAGGGGGGAAAATATGATAGCAAAATAATAATGAGAATCCCTTGTCCTGACTGGGATTGTATGACCCCGCCACCTATCGGACAACGTCGTAATTAGGGCTGAGTTGGCGATCGCCAGGTGGCTTGTCAGTAAGCTGTCAGCCGGACAGGAGAGGGGCCGTCAGGCTGTAAACGCCAGATCATGCTCAGGAAAATGCGACACGCTTAAGAACGGTCATTTATCTCGAAAAAGATGCGGTGCCCTGTGGTGATATGGCCCACATGACTCGGGACCCGTAAGCCGTATACGGCCTACGGGTACCCTCCCGAGTCATCAGGGTCCTTATAAGGCCCCTGTGGTCACCGGCAGCTCCCAAGGCCCCTACGGACGCGATACATGCTTCGAAAATCGCTAGACAAAGGACTCAGGGGCGCAGCCAAGGGGGAGGGGCACACTAGGGCTTTAGCCCCTCCCAAATCTAGCAGGCGCCCTCTGGAAAGACGCCATCCAGGCGCCGAAGGCGCCCTGGATGCAGCGCCTTCCACGATCATTCTGTGCGCCGATGGCGCCTTTTCAGTGTCCAGCACTCTAGTCGCCCTCGACGGTAAGCCATTGCGACGTCATCATGCGGTACTGGCGCCTAGATTTACAATTTTATATCTCTTTGTGGGTGAAGATGCACCCACAATCCTGAAATGTCGGATATCCACTCCCAATCACCTGACCATCTAGCGCCCTCGGCTCACATTCAGCGCCCTTCTGTCTGCTCGGCGCGCTTCTGATCTGTCGGCACCCTTCTCGCCCTTCAGCGCTCTCCTGGCCTGTCGGCACCCTCTTCACATTCGGCGCCCTCCGGGCAGACCAGTTAGCGCCCTCATGGACATTATCACACAGCATCCTCCTGATCTGTCTCGCCCTCCACACTTGTCAGCGCCCTCCTGACCTGGCAGCGCCTATCGTATTATAGCGCCCTCTTCACCGTACAGTGCCCTCCTGACCTATCGCAGTCCTCACTGTATAGCGGCCTCCTAACCATACAAAGCCCTCCAGACCGGCTCCCGCTACGTTCAGCGCCCTCCTGACAAGTCGGTGTCCTTTTCACCGTAGACGGCCCTTCTGACCTGTCGGCGCCCTCCTGACCGTACATTGCCTTCCTCACCTTGTCCGCGCCCTCCTCTTTATACAGTGTCCTCCTGACCTGTCAGCGCCCTCTTCACTCGTATAGTGCCCTTCTCATCGTACAGCATCCTCCTCACCATGGGAGCCCTCCTGACCTGTCGGCGCTCTCCCCACCATACAGCGCCCTGCTGCCTTGTCGGCGCCCTCTTCACGGACAGCGTTCTCCAGATCTGTCGCAGCTCTTATCACCGTGCAGTGCCATCCTGACCTGTCAGCGCCCTCGCCTCACGCCTGTCGGCGACATCTTCGCGTTCAGCGCCCTCCTGACCAGCCTGCGCCTTTTGCAACGCATAGCGCCCTCATCACCATGCATCGCCCTCCCGACCAGTCAGCGTCGCCGTTCATCGTACATCGCCCTCCTGACCTGTCGGCGCCCTCCTCACAACACACCGCCCTTCTGAGCGGTAAGCGTTCTCCTCACCATGCAGACAATGCAACACTTTACAATTAGGAAAGCGTTAAGTAGCCTTTGCTTAACCCTCGCCGGCACAGGCCATTTTGCGTCATTCGACGGCAGGGGGGCTGGTACGACCCCCCCCCCTCGCGCCTCTGACAGCTTCGTAACATGTTACGAAGGCACCAAAACTACTTCGTAAATGTTCAAATGGTTACTAAATTCGAAATCAGCTCCAAAAACTAGCCTAGAAACATATAAAACTTGAAAAAGTGAACCGAGGTCACCAAAGGTCAATGACCTGACCTGACCTTGGTGACCTTGACATCCACCCTAATGCATAAGAGCAACATCAAATCACATGTTTGAACATTTGAAACCACGAAAAGCTTGCAAACGCGCGGCTAATGCGAGCCGACATACGCCGAATCGCGATTCCGGCCAAACATGGTCTCGGAAAGTAGGTCACAGGTCAAAGGTCATTTGGGTCAGGGTCATGAAATTTTCAGGGTAGGTGTACAATTGATCAATGCGAAGGTACTGAAAGTTTCGTCACGATCAGCCGCTTTTTACGCGAGTTATTCGCGAAAAACCTTAGGGGGATTGCATCAACTCAACTCCCTGTGCCGGCGAGTGTTAAAGTGATTTTAGGCGCAAAGTAGTAATGAAGCAATTTCCGGAAAGTAAAAGGATCACAACGTTTCCAGCGTTTCCGGAACGTTTCCGGAAAGGAACTTGTTTACAACCGTGACCCTCAAAATCGTATTCAGGGCCAAACTTGCGGGGAAGGCCAGCTGACAAGTGTACGCCCCGGTGACGTCACGGGTAATGTTAAACAGTCGGGCGCCCGGCACATAGGAAAGCTCGGGATGACAGCCCCCTGAGTGTGGATTGGTTCTCCGTGACTCTGAGCACAGCCAGCATCCTTTTCTCTGCACATCTGCCTACCTGAATCAGCGTTCCGTTGACCATTTCGGCGCACCAGACTTTGCGTCGTTTGTGGCCTCCGTCACAGGAGGAGCTGCATTGGCCCCACTCGTCAGTGGTCCAGCTGAAATAAATCGAACGCGGTTACATAAGCGAGTTGATGGTCATGACACCAATGGTGTAAGGTGACAGTTATTAACACTTACGGAATATTCGGTTACATATTCCAGCCAAAGTCCAGAAGAACATGCAATTTTATGACTTTCTGAAGAAGGTGCAGCTGGTTATGGATGACGAGAAAAATAATTCCATAAAGTATTCGAGGCTTTACAGAGAACGCTGGAAATAAAAACCGCTTCTTTTTCCGTAGAGCCATCTAAGTTCTTTTAAATATTGAAACAAAAAGCTAAAACGCAAAACGTCCATCGTCAATAAGCATCCGTGGTACTCAAAGAATACGGGCAGCCCATTCCCCAAATAAAACGACTAACCCATTTGCTTGATGTCGTATCAAGGTTATGCGAGACTCAGAGCGCCCATCCAGACGGGCTACACAGACGGCGATCCATTTTTCCAACATAATTCTCTTGAAAAGTTTACATAAGGGAGACAAAGCACCAGCTTCCTTGTTGCCGTCATGCAGCCTACCCGAGACATTTGTCAGTCTGAGGGTGAAAAAATCGGTCCATGTTCTGTCGCCAGCGGTAGCGCCGTTCCGTATATCTGAGCAGACACTGGAATGGCCGGCGTTAATATACGACAACAGCGGCCCTATCTAAATGTCTCCGCGCTAGACCGTTCGTCATTGCGGTGCTTTGTGGTTCACTAACTCATGTGGGCAAATTCCTCGAATGGTTTAGCGTGTTAGTTAAAATGAAACATGGTCACAAGATACGTTGAACGTAGCATTTGGCAAAGGATTAAATACAACTGGATAGTTTTCGATCCAAAGACTATGGAGCATTTAAATGCCAGCTAGATTTGCATGTGCAATTAAAAATGAACATTGTGCATACCTACTAGTACTAACAGGCAGTCTTAGAAAATCGTGAAAAAGTGGTGCAGAAGAGAAACAGCATCTTGGTCAACCGTTTCAATTTCGGTCATCCTGTGATTTAGCATAGAGCTGAAAACGCTTAAAATTCCGATTAAGTACCTAAACATGTTCTAAGCCTGAAACCGCGAGCGCTTATCCGCTCGCTTTGGTTGCATCCGCGTTGCAGTCTCTAGCAGGAGATAGGCTGTACCGCAGCATTTGTGTGTTCACCGGCACAGCCTACCCTCCAGTAAGCCTGGGACGGACGGACGGCGAGGCGCCGAACGGCTGGGCGATTCCTCCGCCCGTCCGTCAGACTGCGCTTTATGAAACATGGCTTTACATGTGCAGATCGGCATGTTATATTGCATAGGCTGTGATATGAAAGGATTTCTCAATATCGGGAGCCACTCAGATGCCCCACAGCGGCACTCAATAACCGATAACTGTATCAAAGCTAACGGTATTGAGCCATCATATACAATGTGCTTTTTCATTTTTGGCACAGAATGGGAGTTATATCCTATGACAAAAGCGATAATTAAACGGCACAACTTCTCCAACTATTGGCAATATAGTGACAATGGAACGCACTGAGATCCTGGTAGGCCAGCCATGCCTTGTTTTAGACGTTTTGGTGCCAAGCAAAATCAAAAAGGCATGGAGAAGTGCGGAGCTAACACCAGAAGGAGCTGCAATAACATTTAATCAAACTCTGGTAGGGATATCGTCCATATAAATGTGAAGCTCGTTCCACAAAGCGCACGGGTTCAGCAACGAGCAGCAAGCCTTTCCAGCAGCAGAGTTCATTATCAATGCCACTCTGGGACCAAAACCACTCAATTGCTCAGAAAGCTTGGAACTTCTCCAGATGCGGCCATAATCCTGAATTGTTGGCCACAAAGCCCAATCTCCGGCATAAATAAAATGGAATGCTGCACATAAACAGGACGGCGACGGTGACTCAGAAGCAGCCACCAGACGTCGCACGCAGCCGGCTGAGAGACTAATGACTGTCAATCGATTTTTTTTAATGGCGCAATTTTTTACTTAACCAGAACAAATATACAATTCTCCTCTCTCTTTATGCTCTCCCTCCATCTCTTAATGTGTCACCTCTGCATATCTACAGGATTAGGTATGTCATTACAATAAACCATATTTATACATGGTAAAGCATAAAAATAGATATATGATACAGCAACTACAGCAACAAACACGAACAATCAATCGGCAGTGAGTCATCTGACCACAGTCGATGATCTAACCAAACAATTAGTCACGTCGAATAACAAATTTATCCGGTAAAGGAGACATTGGTCGGGAGAATCCCACTATTCAGCGTCCATCTTTGGCTGCAATTGGTTCATTACGGGTCACAGACGGCGCAGGGGTGTGTTGACTGCATCTGTCTATGGGAACGCCCCCGCGGACCACCGCTGTTGGCAACAGACAGGCACGCGACAGACAGACCCCGCCCCGGCATGTCGTCGACCTCTCAGGCCGGTCCTCGAGACTCGACCGGCGCGACGCTATTTACTGCAAAGCGATGTCCATGAAAGTGCACCCAATTACCCGCTCGGCACGACAGATAAATATAAATGAGCCACCGGGCGGGTCCGTCGGGCGCGCGGCGACGCAGGGACAGGTCGCGTCGGCAGCGCTATTGACGGTCCGGCGAGACTCTGAACACCCCAGCTCGGGAATCAGTCCCAGTGCACCCCGACTGTGGAGCCCGTGCGGTGTGTGGTGGGAGTGATTTGCAGCCGACCCCGCACTGACTGGACCTCGTTGGCAGATATTCCGAATAGCCAATAAAGTCGGCATTGTTGGATGATCGGCCGTTTCCATTATGCAGGCCATTTCTGGGTATAACAGCCACTTCACGGGGCCCCATGCTGTTGATTTATTGGCTCAGCTCAGGCACGCGATCTGATGCAGTGAAAAAGGAATACCGCTTGTAGGCCATGCAGAACATATGTAGATTTATAAATCATACCTTTTTTAATAAATATAAGAGGGTGTATTACGGATGAAAAATAGAACTTTAACAACACAGTAAAACAGTATCTGGCAGCGGCATCCCCTAAATATGCGAACTCCTTGCTATAGCAATGGTGAGATATTTCATTGCAAGCGTTTCTTTTTAAAAGCCGTCAACTACCTTCCAGAATTTTCCGATGCGAATTTCTGAGCCAGCCACAGGCGCCGCAGGCCGCCTTAAAGGTAGTGTGCCAGCTTTCTTGGACCGTATGGAGTTAATGGCCCAGATAAGGAGAACCGGATTTTTAGAACTTATCCATACCTTCAAAACTCATGGAAACGTCTTAAATTCTTCAAATTTTGAGTACCCCAGTGCGAAATTCGCCCCGACGGGTTGTCGGTCGTACCCCAACCACATTTCACACCACTATGAACAATAAATGCACACACTGAAATCGCTATTACCGATATGCTCATCCAATCAAGTTTCGATAAACCCGTTCATCATCAGCTCCTGCGGTTTCGAACACGCCTGTTAGGTGGTGCGGTAGACCACGCCCAAAGCCAGGGCCCCGGTAACGTGAGGTAGCCGAGTCAGGGCAGCGTGCGCTGACCCAAGCCGGAGCCGCGCGTCCTCCCGGTGTCATGTGATAGCCCGGGGCTGCCCGCGGGGATGCGGTAGACCGCGCCCAAAGCTGCGGCCCCGGCTTGGGTCAGCGCACTCTGCCCCGACTCGGCTACCTCACGTTACCGGGGCCCTGGCTTTGGGCGCGGCTTCTGCTCATACTTTGTGGTGCGGTGGTGGTGCGTCGGGCTGCGCGCTCTGACTTCGGCCAAGAAAAATGCGTCAGCTGATCATTGTCATTTCTGCCACTTGCGTGTGGTGAAATGGGGTCATAACTTATAAGACGGCTTTTTCATATCAATTATTTTACATAAAATCATATTTCAAACCATAAATAATGTTCGACAGCCAAATAAAAGAAACAATACCAATACGGGCTTACAGTTTAAGAGAGAGAGAGAGAGAACTTTGTATTTACAGACACTTAGTCCAATGCTACATAACATGACGATTCATGGCACTCCCAGAGCATCATTCCATGCCGCTCTTAGCGGTGATCGCCGGCGTATGTCACTGTCAACCAGGACATTGATGATCGCGTTGGTGGATGCATCTAAACGCTGCATGAAACCCCATGCTGCTTTTCGGTACATCACGTCAAAATTATCTAATCCTTCACACACATGCATAGACGAAGCGCTACAGAACCTGGAGTAGCCAAAGAATATTCTGACAGCATTGTTAAGACACACTTTGAATTTTCTTATAACCGCAGCACTATAAGCACGCCACAAGTGAACACAGTACACAGAAGCACAGTAGGTCGTGAATAAATACTTTTTCACAGCATACGTACACATGCCAAATTTGCGAATGAGCGAATTGGTTCTACAGCACAGCATACGATATTGCTGCTGAATCTCAAGATCATCACGCACATTGTCAGTCATGAAGTAACCAAGATATTTGTACTCACTTACAACTCTTAATATTGTGCCACAAAGAGACAGCTCAGGAGTTTTAAGATTTTTCAAAGCCTTTGGACGCATAATCAAGCATACAGTTTTCTTTGTGTTGTACTTGATATCATACTCCTCTGCAAATCGTTCGCAAGTATTCAAGAGCACTTGCAAGCCATGGTGAGATGGCGAAAGAAGGATGACATCATCAGCATAAGCAATGTGATTCATGCTGCCTAAATAACGGCAGCCAACGCCAGTTTCATCCAGTGCTGAAGAAAGAGAGTCTATATACACATTGAACATGAAGGGGGAAAGTATACCTCCCTGTCTCACGCCGTTACTTACATTAAAACCGCCAGTTGTGACACCACCCCATTTGACGTGAAAAAGCTGAGTACCGTACCATTCAACTAGAAGTTTAACGAGGCTTTTATCAATTCCACGCTTTAAAAGTTTGTCATAGAGTTTCCAGTGATTCACTCTATCAAAAGCTTTTGATGCATCCAGAAAACAAACATACACGGCACTATTGTTTCTAAGGTAATAATCTGAAATTTCTTTGACTGCATATATTGCCA